TCCGAAGGCAAGGGGGGGTTAAGACATGGAAGCCGTCCGTGGTTGGGTATGGATATTTTCTGGAATTGCCCAATTTGACTCAAATAAAAAATATAATGCTGAGTTGTTAAGATTCAGAAGGAGAAAAACTGGACTGCACCAATCCCAATAATTATAATTGGGATAGGTCCAACAATTATTATTAGTTGTTGCAAGTTACAAAAAATCACCAATCTGAAAATTATATAAATTAAACTCCCACAAAAGGAAAGTGTCATATGGTACATGTACTTGACAACATTGCATCATTATTTAGTATGGTACTTTCTTTCTCTGTTCCTATTGTAGTGTTCGTGTCTGCAGTGTTAAAGGATTTTTAGGATTCCTGTGATGTCAAGGCTGATGGAGGTAAGAAAAATCATTATCTGTTAGCTACATGTATAGTGTTAGTCAAGTGAAGGTCCATATTTCTTGGTATCTTACAGGTTGTAAGGTTTGAGGTTTTAGAAGTTCTAGTTGTGGTTTTAAATGTTTGTGTAGGGGTGTTAATCATATCAGACTCTGGATCAGGGAAGGTCTGATTTGATCCCCCTTTGTTCCATCTCTTTATTTTTAACTCTGAAAAAACCATCAAAGTAAAAACTATCCTTATGCATAAGGAAGAAACTTTTCCAGGGTTGTGGGAGGGGGGGGGGATTTAAAGGAAGACTGGTTTGGTCTGTACTGCTGGAACCCTTGGATTCTGACCCTGTTTAAGGCAAAATGCATTCAAATTGCAACCCTGTTTAGGACACTAAATAGTGAAATTAAATACTTTTTTTAACATTGAAGATCCCATAAACCTCTACCATGCAGTGCGGCACATACTGAGTGACCTAAACATGGAAGTTTCCCAACCCCCTACCCCACCCCCTTGAGTGCGTGTGTCAATCTGTAAAGTTCCAAGGGAACCATTTTCCATACATGGAGGCCAAGAAACAATAATGTCAATGATGACATATTGTCAAGACATCAGGACTAATTTCACTTGCATGCCTAATAGATCTACACTGTTTACCCATTGTTCACGGCAGTTAATTTCAAAATATGCACAAACATAGTTGTCAACCATTTAAAGTTTTCATGCTTAAGATCAACAACGTTACATATCGTTTAAAAGCAATACTAAATTCTAATAGTGCGTAATTAAACATATTACCAAGCACAAATTTTAAGACAAATAATACAACTATAAATATTGTAATTTGGTGAGTATTTTTTTCTATCTTTCTCCTTTTATTCAACTGGCATGATCTGTAACATGTAAAAGATGAAACATGAACTACAACTGTATGATGTCAAAAAACTTTTTCATAGAAACAACAGAGCGACTAGTGTCATGATCTCAAAAGATTTTGTGCATTATGAGTATACCTGCCAGGTGTCACGCCTAAGGCGTGATTGTCACGCCTGCGAATCTAAAACTTGGATCTCATGCCTACTCACACCTGTGTTTCAATTTGTCACACCTGGTGGAAAAGTTTGAGCCATTACGCTATTAACTGACACATTTTGAAAAATATATTTGAGTTATTTAAAGAAACCAGAACCAAAGGGAGTAAAGAAAAGTCTATATGGATGATCGACTTTCTCCGAATTCTCTTTTTTAGTAGGGAAGTCAATGTTCCTTTGTGTTCCCATGTTCGTGTTAGACGGAACTCTTCGTAACATCTTCAGAACGTCTTCGGACATCTTCGGATATTATTGGATCCTACGAAAAATCTTGGCACTCTTAAGATAAAAAATGTCACGCCTATAAATGTAAAAAAGTTGGCAGGTATCTATGAGGAATTACAGAAAAATACATAGTTTTTTCAAGAATATAATAATTTTGTCAAAGGGATAACATATACGTACAGTGTAAGCAAAAAAGTAATAAAGAAAAAATTTGAATAGTATTTATTTATGAGTTTTAAATTTTAAATATCTGGTAAAAAGGTAACATTATCTGACTTACTGAAAATCTAATATAGATTTTACAAACAACATAATTTTTTCCAAGTTTTGTGGCTCACAGCCACTTTGATCTTAGTCAAGAAACTATTTGTCACTTTACCTCTCCTCTCACAGGTCTTTAACTTTGTGTTTTTTCTTTAAACTGGCTACATACCATTGGGAACAATGCTGTGGTGGACTAGTATCCCATCCTGGGAGGGGTGGGGGAAGTTGGGCTGGGAATAGTTCTTGGCGATTCATGGTACTCAAACCAAGATAAGCTCTTGCTGTGTGGACTTCAATGGCTTGTTTCAACCCTTTAAGCACCAGTATCCACATACAAATTCTCCACACTGGTCTCAATGCATTCCTTAACCCTTTAAGCCCTAAGAGTGATCAGTGTCAAATTTCTCCTTGTAGTATCACTTCTTTATAAAACACAGTGGTCATGAGAATTGAGGACCTGATCACACAAGATGAATCTAATTGATACTTCAACAAATTCTCTCCACTACTTCTATTGAAAACAAATAGGGACAACAAATGAGAATTTGAATTTTGATATTAGGCTTTAAAGAGTTAAAAGAATTACATGTAGTTAAGAGAATTTTATTAACGATTAAAGCATTTTCACTAAGTGATCATTTTATTAATTTCATATCATTAAATGGGGAGATTATATACATTTATTATTCCACTATTATTATATGGAGGAGAGTGTTTTACTGGGAACTAAACCACTCGTAGATTCCATACGCCACTTCATCCGGGACCCGAGTGGCGTATTTTCCGTATGTCACCTTTGTGAGTGTCGTATCGTTCAATGACGTCACGATTCCCGCCTTTTGCTTTTGTTGAATTGGTTTCTCCATATAATAAAAAGAACATTACACGTTGCCTCGAAGATATGAATTTTATGTTCTCGTGGCAAGAACAATATCTCACGAGTGAGCGAAGCGAACGAGTGAGATATTGTTCTTGCCACGAGAACATAAAATTCATATCTTCGAGGCAACGTGTAATATCCTCTATTTATGTCATTTTACCATCTAAGGTCAAGAGAACAAGCAAAATACGAGGCCGTAATACACTGTAGTGTCCTGGTTTAACCGGTTTACAACAGGGCGAATACCGGCAGATGCAAAAGGAGCAACTATGGCTGACAGAATCAGGATGTTTTGGATACTCTTATTAGAAAATAGAAGCCAAAATACCATTTTCTTTTGCAGTAAAATAATTAACCTCTCATTCAATGGTTTGGCATATAATACGTGCGAACATTTTGCTAATTGTTAACGTCATTCTCACAGACAGAATCAGGGTGTCTCTGAATCCTCTTACCAAAAAAATAGAAGCCAATTTTCAAATAACAATTTTTTTTTGTAGTGGAATAATAAACCTCTTATTGGATGGTTTAGCATATAATACGAGCGGACATTTTGCTCATTGCTCGTATTTTCCCTCGCCCCTGCGGGGCTCGGAAAAATACCACGCAACTCGCAAAATATCCGCACGTATTATATGCTAAACCATCCAATAAGGTGTATGTAGTCCACACCCCTTAGTGTGGTACAGGTGTACTGTGCTGTTTACATACATGTAGTCCACAACTCTTAGTGTGGTACAGGTGTACTTTGCTGTTTACATACATTTAGTCCACACATCTTAATGTGGTACAGGTGTACTGTGCTGTTTACATACATGTAGTCCACACATCTTAATGTGCTACAGGTGCACTGTGCTGTTGAGACTCGTAGTAACGTGCATCATCTTTGACCTTTCACCCTGTAAGTTGTCTCTGTTCCTCTCCCTTTCAAGCACATCAATAAATCACCCAATCATACTGGGCCAGTTCACGTGAAGTGTTACAGTACATAATTAATTAATACAGGCTATCATTTAAGAATAAAGGGGGAAGGGGGGGGAGGCTTAAAAGAGAGCGGGAGCTTAATTACTTTCTTCCCCTGAAAAGGTGGGGCGGGGGGGGGGGGGGCTTAATAACTTTTTTGCCTTTGAAAAGGGGGGGGATTTTTTTGGTAGGGGGTGAGGGGTCAATAGGGGTTTTAATTATGGTATAGATATATACATAAACATGAGACAAAACTGGAAGCCAAAACTCAAAAAATGTCCTCCATGTTTTTTTAGTCATTTTTTCCAGTCCACTCGCCACCAAAAAACAGTGATATGAGAATGTTCGGATTGAGGCGAAGTATTTGAACTCACGTATATGTATGATGTAGTGGTAGTGTGAGTGGAGGGGGTGGTGGGGGGGGGGGTGGAAAGGGGGGGGGGGGGGTGGACTGTGTGGTTGGCGGGGGGGGGGGGGGGGGGGGGGGGGGGGGGGCTTAATAACTTTTTTTCCTTTGAAAAGGGGAGGGACTTATTTGGTAGGGGGTGAGGGGTTAATAGAGGATTTAATTATGGTATAGATATATACATATACATGAGACATAACTGGTAGCCCAAACTCAAAAAATGTCCTGCATGTTTTTTTAGTCAGTTTTTCCAGTCCACTCGCCGACAGAAAAGCAGTGGAAGACAATGCTCAATTAAAGTTTGCAAGAACTTACTCTTAAAAAGGCTTTCTAATAACTTGAGATCAGGCTCTATTTTCGTTTCTCTTTGTAAATAACATTCCGGCGGGCAAAGCGAAACGAAAAGAGAAATTTTAGTGGGACTATGTGAGAGAGAATGTCTGAGAACTGCCAAAATTGATCCTGATCTCAGGTTAGCTTTTTAATAAACCCTTTAATAAATTTATGCCACTCTTCTTTTAGGAATTGTCATCCTTTCCTAGCACAGCCTCTACATCACAGGACGACCATGAAAGCAATTCAGAATCCACTTCCTCCAGGAAATTGAAAGTTACTCTGTTAAGCAGTGAATGGAGATCGACAAAAGGAGGCTTATCAACAATCAACCGAGAGCTGGCCATTCAGTTGGCTAAACACCCCAGCGTGGAGGTCAGTGTTTATCTCCCTCAGTGCAGCAAAGAGCATAAACAAGTTGCTGCAAGTCACGATGTACAGCTTATTGAAGCAGAAGAAATGCCAGGTTATGACCCCGTTGACTGGTTGTCCTTTCTTCCTGAAAACCATTCTGTGGATTGTGTGTTAGGACATGGGGCTGTTCTTGGTCGGCAAGTGCAGGCTATAAAACGTCAGTGTAAGTGCAAGTGGATTCAGGTCGTTCATACAGCTCCTGAAGAGCTTGGTATGTACAAGTCCTATGCAGATACCGTTTCAAAAGGTGAGAAAAAGCACGAAGCTGAGGTAAAACTCTGTGAAAAAGCTGATCAAGTTGTAGCTATTGGACCCAAGCTGGCTGAAGCTTTCTCAGGTTATCTCCGTGCCTGTGGAAAGGATCAAGATGTTCTTAATCTTACCCCAGGCATCTTCTCTGAATTTTCTGAGGTAAATCAAGCCACTGAAGAAAGAAAAACATTCAGTGTTTTAGTGTTTGGACGTGGTGACAATGAAGACTTTCAGCTAAAAGGATATGACATCGCTGCTCGCGCTATTGCCGAGTTGAAAGAGGAGCCACAGCCCTATAAGCTGTTGTTTGTTGGAGCTCCAAGTGGTGAAGAGGAGAAAGTAAAAGATTTGTTACTCCAGCAAGGCATTGATCGCAGTCAACTAACTGTGCGTTGTTTCAATGAAAGTAGAGAGCAGTTAGCCCGTTTGTTTTGTGAAGTAGATCTTGCTATAATGCCATCACGAACTGAGGGATTTGGTCTTGCTGCGCTTGAGGCTTTATCTGCTGGCCTGCCCGTGTTGGTCAGTGGGAACTCCGGTCTTGCGGAAGCTTTAAAGAAAGTTCCTCATGGTTCAAGCTGTGTGGTAACGTCAGACGATCCAAAAGACTGGGCCAGTGCAATAAGAGCCGTCCGTCACAAAGACAGGGAAATGCGACTTGGAGAGTTTGACGTTCTGCGTGGAGCATATGCAAAAAAGTACAGCTGGAAGGAACAGTGTGATAAACTTGTTGAAAGGATGAAAGTGATCTCTTCAGAAGGTCAGTTAAAATAAGTGCTATTGTATTGCGTCTTCTGTTGCATATATATTAGACTTAAAATGAAATGTACGCTAGCCCGCAAATAAAGCCAGATCTTCCATCGCTCCCTACCACCGGCAATGTTTGCGGAAGAGAATGCTGTCTGAGAGGCGGCTGTATTCGCAGGCTAAATGTACATGTATACATAATACTTATGATTTAAATTGCATTTACAAAGTAAAAACATGCCGTACGCTCATTAAACTTGAAAGCATTCTTAATACATGCTCATTTAGAAGCAGACCTTATCACAAACAACTGCAGCTACGTTTTGGCAGAAAAAGTTGTGTTATTATAACGATTACTAAACGAGAATATTTCGATAGAGTTCGGCTGGAAGTAAAACGCTGTCTGAAACATTGATGGCAGGTTAAGGTGCACTGTACATGTGCATTCTCCAGGTGAAAACAAAAACAGGTAAGGTGGCAAATCTCTGACTGGCAAAAATAATTTGATCAACACGAAACTGATTTCATTTCAGACTCATCAAAAAGACTTCAATCTTTGGACAAAGGTAAAAGGCCATTATCCCCAAGTGATACCCCAGCTTCAAAACAACCGAGACTGTGGAGATATGCAGGTAAACCATAGGTTATATTGTGTTGCTGTAATATCTCATTCATTAGAGCATTCAGTCTATACATGTAGTGTAGTGCTTTCTTGATTTATATTATTTCGTTTGGGTATGAGAGGGCTTGTTCAAGTGTCATACATAAAATCGGGCTTCGTTATTCAGTTTGTGGGGCTCTTTTATTACTATAATTCTTTGCTATGTACGGCAGCATAGCTGAGCAGTGTACCATGGAAGCTTTTATTGCCTACAGAAAGTTTCTAAACGAAAGTTGCTCGAGGGGCCTTAGCTAACTGTAAACCCGCCAAGAGCTACAACTAAAGAAAAACCAAACAAAACAAACGGACAAACAAAACTAAGCGGTCTACTTTTACAGGGCGTCAGACCGACTGGCTGATAAATTTGACCAGACTTTTCGTTCTCCCGAAACCATTTAATATTTTCGCCCTGTTCACACAGAACTGACGAACCAGGTTGAATTTTAACTTTTGTCAGGGGTTTTACCATCTGCTCATGCGCAGAGAACTCCTATAGCAAACCCAAACCCGTTACACTGTCACCCAACTGAGTAACCACGCATCCATTTAACAGCGCCTTTACCATAAGAAAAACTTAGACGGAAATGGTGTTCACACAGCGCAGGTCAAATTTTAGAGAGTTCCAGCTAAAAATTTGACCTAGATTTTGACGTGGAAGTTTTTGAACGGCTAGCCGTCCAAATTTTCGTACGCTTAAGGTGCTGATGTGTGGTACTGTTTGAAGTGGAAGGTTTTGAACTGCTAGCCGTCTAAATTTTCGTACGGTTAAGGTGCTGATGTGTGGTACTGTTTGTCTCAGGACAATATCCTGGACTTTCTTCGTCGTAAGTTTTAGTAAACTGCAGTAAGCATCTACAATAAGCTGAATTGTCTAGCCGGCCTTCGGAGGTTTATAAACTTTGTTTATGTTCAATTCAAGAGTTCACGTCAAATGATTCTTTGACTGTTTTTTTTTTTGTCTTTAGGTTGCAGTGGGGATGAGCAGGATTTATCCGTAAAAGCCACTGCGGTTTGTTCAGTTTACGAGAAACCTATACTTGTCAATAAACCTCTTCATAAAGGTACGCTTGAATCTTAGACTGAACGTCAGCAATATACTCGCGAGAACAAAACTTTTTTAAATGTATGCTTTTATGAAACAATTGTTTCCAACGTATTCTTCGTTCACTCGGACGATCGTGCTCAACCTACTTATTGTGATGTATCGCAATTTGTGCAATCGTGTCCTGGAAATGTTGTTTTATTTTATGCTTCCTTCTTCTTCCAATCTCTCCAGTGTCTTATCATATTTATCGTTATCTAGATAAGATAACATGTACCTTATTCTCCTTTATTTTCGCGGGACTTAAATTTCGCGAAAATTTTCTCGGCACATTTCGCGAGTCTTTAATTTCGCGATAGCGGAGAAAAATTGTGTTTGCAGGGAATTTAATTTCGCGAAATTGACGATTAAGTGACTTTGTTTTTTCTTTTTTCAAAAATTTTACGTTAATCAACAATTGAAACAAAACCAATATGCTGTCCCTGTTGAGGTGATATGTGAAATGGACGATACACCAATGAACAGGGCAATAATGGAAAGATACAAGACACTCGTAACTACACACTACAAGGAGCCGGGACAGGATGGTCAATTTGACGACTGTACAAAGGATGTATTGGAGGAACTGTGCGCAGATGATTACTCAGGTGCCGAAGAAGAACTTGAGGCGAATCTTGACATTGATTAACATCTAAAGTTGATAGATGACAGCTCCTTGTACTAACACCTTGTGTTAAAAATTGTTTAGGACCCTTGAAAACACAAATACATGATTTTCCTATGTCCATTAAATTTCGCGAGATCAAAGTTCGCGGTCGTTATGTTTCGCAGATCTTTAAGTTCGCGAATTTTTTAAAATCGCGAATTTAAGAACCCGCGAAAATTAAGGAGAATAACGTAATATGATCTTTTGTCTTGATTTACCAATGAAGTACCAAATCCATTTGAAGTACAGTGAATGTCAGGAGAATATTAACAGATTGTTCGGTTTTTTGCTCCTGACAGATACAGAAAACCTAGGTGTTCTGAAAATACTCAGAGCTGAATATGAGAGACGGGCAAAGTTGAAGCCACTTTCTTGGTTAAACACTATGCAATTACCGCTTAAAAACGTCTACACGAGACTGAAGATTATCTCAAGAAGAAAAGCAGACTTCCAGGTTGAAAATGAAGAGTTGGGTATGTACGACATCTTCCAGGCCCTTGGCGAAAGTGAGGATGTCAAAATGACGTTAGCAGAAGGAAGTCCAGGAACCGGTAAAACTACGTTTTGCCTCAAACTTGCTTATGACTGGGCACGTGGAGAAATGCCAACCAATTGTTCCTTTCCTAAATTCGAATTTGTACTGCTCCTTAAATGTCGAGACATAAACGGAGATCTAATGGAAGCTATCAAAGAACAACTTTTGCCAGAAGATATCAAGGAGGAGACCTGGACAAAGTTGTCTGACTTCATCACGGATATTGATAACCAGGAGAGAATTTTAATTATTCTGGATGGTCTGGATGAGCTCCCTGAAAAGTCACGACCATGTGTTCGTAAACTCCTCAACAGAAAAATTTTACCATTTTGTTATGTCCTGGCTACATCCCGGCAGGAAACAGGAATTGAAGTTCGTAAAAACTGCGAATTTGATCTTCTTCTGGAGATCAAAGGATTTACAGACGAAGATGCCTTTCAGTATATCAGGAAGCATTTTCAAAACATCGGTCCGGAGCATACTTCAAAAGGAGAAAGTCTGATAGTGGAAATTAAGGAAAACGATTTATTGAATGCACTCCGAAATAACCCGCTAAATGTAATCCTTCTCTGTGTTGTTTATGAGGACTACAAAGGAAAACTACCAACTGCCCAAACTGAACTTTACCAAGTCGTTGTCCAGTGCCTTTTGAGACGTTATTGTGCGAAACACAACCTTGTGGCCCCAGAAGATAACAACCCCTTAGAGAAGCAATTTGAAGAGAACATTCTTGCCCTTGGAGAGCTAGCTTGGCTTTGTCTACTTAGTGAACGTCACGGGTTTCGTGAAAGTGAATTAGCCGCACTTGAAATCAGATACAAAGGACTGGTAGCTCGTGACATAGGCCTTCTTTACAAGGAAGAAAGTCTGAGGAGGTTAAAGCCTCAACATGAGTACTATTTCCTTCACAAGACCTTCCAAGAGTACCTGGCTGCCGCCTTTATTGCTCAGAAACTGCGAAAAAACGAATTAAATTTGTTTGAGCGTCTGAGTTTTTGCGACCTGGTATTTAAGTATCGGGAAGTGTTTCTTTTTGTGTCAGGTTTACTGGAGAGAGAGGCAAGTATTCTATTTGCGCAGATTGGCGAGGAGCTGAAGAACTGGGGGGATTGGGACTGGGACAGTTGCACACAGTTAGACATAGTGAACAGTAAAGAAGACTGGTATTACAACCGTCAACAGCGAGGTGAATTGGCGGCAAGTTTCTTCGCAGAAAGCTTCAGTGAAACTGGACGAGGTGAGCAAATGGCAGTCACTCTTTGTTCCTATATACCCTTTCCACAGCATATTGAGGTCAATCTCTTTTTGAAACCAATCATTGAGAGAATTAATGACGCGAGTGGTAATATATTCGAAGTCCTAGAATCCTGTAACAGCTTTCAAAATCTACAAAAGCCTGTTGACGTCACCGTTCACGATTCATTTGACAATAAATGGGATTATGAGACTTTTGCAAAGTACATACAATCCTGCTCACAGCTTCAGATTCTTACCCTTTATAGCCCTGCGGTGACATCAGACCTGGCTAAAGTCTTACATAGCGGCCTATCTGGAAACACGACTTTGTCAGAGTTTACACTACAAGTCTCTGGCAGTATCCCCTGTGACGCAGCTGTTGTCATCGGTGAATGGTTAGCTGCTACTAAATCTTTAAAGGAAGTAACGTTTCTTCTTGACGTGGTACAGGATGAGACTTGGGCCAGTGCTATTGAAACTGGATTGTGTGCGGACACCGCTTTTACCTCTGTGGTCCTCGAGGTTCGTGGTCCAATGAGTAACACTGCGATCCATGCTTTAGGAAGGCTTTCATCAAATGAAGCTATGACTTCATTTTCTCTGAATAATTATGGAGATTTGCAAGATTTGGCAGCTGCTGTTATTAGTAGAGGAATTGCACGACAAACTGCACTCGAGTCGTTTGATCTAAGTGTTAACGGCAACCTTAGTCTCTCTGGTGCGAATGTTCTACAAAGTAGTCTTCTAGAAAATCGCTCCTTAAATAATTTAAAACTGTTTGTCCGTGGAGAGATTCCTGACAACTGGCAATCTGTTTTGGAAAATCTTCGTTTGGTAAAGAAGGAGTCAGTTAACTGTGCTTTTCATCCAGACCCTGGCGGCAGTGTTACGTGTAATCAAGCGGCGCATTTTCGTCCTGCTGTGGTCGAGAATGGGTTGGAAATAAAACAGCACCTAACTATAGTCATTTGGGGAGAGCTGAAGTGTGATGGAGCAGAAGCTTTATGTGAGGTATTGGTGCGTGTCCCCCTGACAAGCCTGACTTTAAAAGTGCACGGAAAATTAAGTGATGGTGTTGCTGATATTATTGCAAGATATGTCAGGCAACAAAATACACTATCCTCCCTAGCAATCGATATTTGGGGAGAGTTGGCCCGAGGGACAGGAACTTTACTTCAGGGCCTATCAAATGAAAACGTAACTGTTCAAGTGAAATTGCATGAGGTTAGTTTAAATCCAAATGAATCGTTCAGAATTCCTGATCTCTTAATTGAAAGTCCGGCATCTTTGACACCAGTTTTCTCTGAAGTCAAGAAAACTAGAAAAGAGAAGATCAATCTGAGAATCGTTAACGACGGTGAAGTGACTAAAGACTGGCCACACCGTTTAGGTGATGCTTTGGCAGAAAACACGACACTAACTGCGCTTGATCTTACAGTCAACAACTACATAGAGAACAAAGAGTTGGGGAGAGAACTGGGGACTAGTTTGTTGCATAGCTGTTCACTGACAGTTTTAAATCTGGCAATCATCAACTACAGTAACATTGAAGATGGCTGGGAATGCACACTGGTCAACAGCTTAGCTAGAATGGCTTCATTAACCACACTCAGTCTTGCAATCGACGATCGTGGCGAGGTGAGGAAATTTGAAAGTGAAAATGACAATTTGATGGCGTTGAAGTCCTTGACTAAACTTTCCGTTGTTATAAATGGTAGTAATTTAGATGAATTCTGGAGCAACTTTCTTAGAAAATGTTTGGAAGGAAACACTTCAATGAAAAAAACTTTGGCTTGTAGCCAACAACGTTGAGGTGGAGCGTGAATCCGATATCGATTTCTTAGTCGATCCAAGTGAAAGACCAGAGTATTGGGGAGAAGGTCTCGCCGATGGTCTGGCAAGAACGACATCATTAAATGAACTAGCCTTGACAATTAACAACATTACTTCTACTGATTACCACTGGGCAACTAGTGTCTGTAAGGGATTGTCTAATAATGAGTCGGTGACTAATCTCGCTGTGACAGTCAGTGATTACCATTCCCTGAGTGCTGAGGAGTACGCACACTTTCTAGAAATGGGTTTAACGGCAAACAAGTCATTAACCACACTCACTCTTACAGTAAATGACTACAGTGAATTTGGATGGTATAAAAGCTGGTCCCGTTGGCCTCCGCTGATTTATTTTCTAGGCTTCAGTTTGGTAGAAATCACATCGTTAACTGAACTTAATCTGAACCTCAACATTTGCAGTGAAGTCAGTGAAGACTGGTTAACCGATATTTTCGACACTTTCGTGGAAAGTTCCTCCTTGACAACCCTGAGATTGAAAGTTAACAACCAATGCAATACAGGAGAAAGTCGTTTGTATGACTTTAGCAACCTTTTGTTGAAAAGCGAATCGTTATCTTCATTTGAACTCAGCGTAACGTTTTATGGAGAGTAAAGTAAGTACATCAAAACTGTCATGAATATTCTGAGTTTTACCGACAGATGAAGTAGACCTCTGAGGACAAAGACACGTGAACAATTCATTTTTGTTGTTTAAACGTTTTGCATCCCACTGGTTATATATTTGCATAACAAGAATATAGTGACGTCACAATTGTTTAAGCTCCAAATCCGCGTTTTCTATCTCTAAGGCCTAGGCCAAACGTCGAACTTTTCATCAGACGAACCAAACTGAGTCAGTTAAGTTCATGAAAAGTTCGACGTCTGTCTCAGTTTAGTTCCTCTGAATGTGTTTGGATCGTCCAGCACGTTCTATCCGTCTGCCTCAGACGGAAAGAACTTCTGAAGATCGTCTCCGGAACAAACGTCCATCTTCACATGCGACGAACTAAAGTAAAAAAATGAAAATTTGTATGATAATGTATATTTAGCCTCGTTCGGGAGAAAATTTATTTTTGAGATATCCTGCACTTTATCGGCGTGTCGCTTTGAATGAGGTGGGCACTGGCAAAGAATACATTTTTGCCTATCTACAGCTTGAGAAAGGAATATGACAGACAAACATGCAATAGCTTTTACTATAATTGCATCGAAGTTTAAAACGCACTATAGAGTGCAATACTAGTTTTACTCTTACGGTCTGAACCATTTGAATATAGTGCATCAACACCAAACGCAACAACAGCACGGTGTTCAACGCCTGTATTCATCCAGTAATTTTGACGAGAGAATTTTATTTGCGTGGAAAAAGAAACAACATCGCATTGGGAGACCAAATTTGAAATTGAACATTGTGGAGATGATGATGATTGCCGCTAACTGGCTTGAAAAAAAAATGAGCTTGGCTTTATGTCAATATTTAAACAGTATGGGTGTACTTAAAGACCCCTTTTAGTCCTGCAAAATTTGTTTTTTGAATCAAAAATCGCATAATTCTCAAGCTATGCCCCAGAAGTATCAGTCACTTTGTTGCTTTTGTAGTTTTTTTCCCCGAAGCCCAGTGCAAACTATGGCTACTCCAGTCTGCATATCATTTGCGCTACAGTACACCTGATAATCGGATTAAATGTTGTTTCACACAAAAGACTGTGGAAAGTTTTTTCTCCTATCTAGAAATGCTCTGGTTAAGTGAGGCCAAGGTCAATACAATACGGTTTGCTAGTAGTCTAAGAGTTTATTAAATAGTTTTCGATATTTTACAATATCAGCACTTCATTATTTCAATGAAGTTTGTGTTATAATTGCCAATTTGTAAGAAACAAATCATAGTCTAGTTTCTAGTTTTACCCAAAGTGTATTTCACTATATAAAACTGAGAGAGGATCCATAGTTCATCTTTAACTTAGTTCAATTCAGTCAGCTTAAGTCAAGAGCGTTTTTGTTAGGAATCGACTTCATCTCGTCGGTGGATGCAATGAACGTTTCATACAAACAAGCGAAAGCGAACAGTTTAAAGTACATTTGACATTAAATGCGCCAAGTTTTGTCATTCAGAATTGTATAGTTACATATAAATAAAATTTCATGTAGTTACGCAGAAACCCTTAGTAGTTTGCTGGTTGAAATTGTTTTATATATTCTCGATAGCGATCTGGAACTATCTTGCAGGTGAAAGCGGATTCCCCTGCTCAACCCGCCTAACCCTAGCTTTAACTTCGAAACTACTTCCCGGGGTACTAGCTGTGGTCTTAAAACGCCTACCTTGGTACGGTAGTAGAGGATTTTTTCTCNGGGGGGGGGGGGGGGGGGGGGAGGCGTTCTAATCTATTTTGTTTCCTCGTGATGCGAACTGCATTCCTTCTCTCAAATCTGAGTGAAGTCAGTTGTTGTCTAGGCAGAAGTTTGGTCAAGTTTATGTGTTCTTTTTTAAAGATAACCATTGTTTTCTCAGTTGAGAGTCATTTGTTAGAAAATCAATGTCGTCAGTGACCCTTACCAAATTTGCACCAGCCCTCCCCACCCCATAACGCTACCGTCCATTACAATGATGAACGTACCTCACAAAAATGCCATTGAATGTTTGCAGGATTTTGTCCCTAAAAGAACGTAAACGTAAAAGAACGTCCATGCCATAATAATATTGTGTTTATCGTGAGTGATGAGAGAATGTCTCCAGAGTAATAAGTAGTGAGCCTCCCCATATTTGCAGCTGCTCTCCCTACCCCCTTGAGGGTCGGTTTACATGGAGGGGCAGTGAGGGACCCCAACTCGCCTGTCCATATAATCTCCCATTTTAATTTGATCACGTTTACACGATAGGTGGGTGACCTACCAAGGCCGGAACCCCGGTCCGCCAGACCGGGTAACCCTCTCAGCTGGGGTAACATTTTGCCATGTAAACGTTTCAAGGTGGGGTAACCCGCCTAGCCGGGATCGGATTCGTGATACATCAGGTTCACTTTGGTGGTGGCTTTGCATCATTATTAAAGGTAACAATAGAAAGCCACAGCACTGAAAGTTGCAGTAAGAGCAGCAAGTGAGTGTAGAAGAGTATTAATCGCCAAAACACGTGGTTTGCCAGCATTTTTCTTGTTTATTTGCTTAGCGACCATTCAATAATCTCTCTCTCCTCCGCAGAGGCTTCCGCTGGGTATCCCAATAAAAATAGCAATAATCGAAAAATAGCAAGAAATTGCACCCCAGGATAGCGGGGTTGTAAGATTGCATGTAAAGGAGGGTTATTTTTTTACCCCACCTAAGCGGGTTATCTCACCTACCTGGGGTGGCCCACTTCCATGTAAACGGGCCCTAAATTATGAAGAGCCTAAGCAACGATAACGGGGACGCAGCAATTGGTTCGATTGGCAAAACAAAAACTTTGCATGTACAGCACGCTTTTTGTACATTTCTTTGCCATCGTTGCACGACTACGACGTGAAAATGAAAAATTTCACGTTTTGTTGAGGACGTGAACATAAGATAACGACTTCCTTTTTCTTGGTCTGAACTTCGATACAGTCCTTTAGAATTCAACTCCAGAAAAATTCGCTATCATTTGTCGAAATAACTTCTTTAGTGACGTTTTCGTAGCCGTCGCCGTCGTTGTTCCCTATTGAACGTTGCCTACAGAAGTTATGCTGAAAAAAATATCTTCGCATCAGCCCAGAAGCTCGCGTCCATGAGTCAGCGATGCTAAGGCGTTGGCCTTGCATCCTAAACCTGCTCATTTTCAATCGCGGCAATGGACTAGAACTAGTTTACAACGGATGCACGTGAATCATATTTTCTCGTACCATCAAGAATACCAATGCGGTCTATTATAAAGTAAGATGTAAATATATCAGTTTCTTTTGTATTTTCTTTATGAATTATCTAAAACATCTAATCGATATCACCCATGTCCGTAAAAAATAATTTTCAATAAAACCCTCGCATATTTTAGTAGGACTAAAACAGAAAAGTAATAAAGTGATAAAGCATTATTCGCAGAAGAAAATTCTAACGGCTTCTCGGGTTTGTATTGTCCATTAGAAGACTTTATAACCATTTCTTAATAACCTCTTTTTTCGTCGTCTTATTTTTAATACATACATACTCGGTAAAATCATTCAGTAATATAGAAAGTTACAAATAAATATTTTAGTTAAAAATATATGTGTGTGCACTTCATTTACTGTTTTGCAAGATTGCCGAGTGGGAAACCAATGATTGCATCACTTGATTAATTTCCCTTTTGAATTTGATGTTTCTAACATATTCTAGTAAAGAATTCCATAATTGAGCTACGCTTTAGATAACCGGTGCGTGGCTTGGGCAGAGTTAGCATACCACTTGAGTTTCAGAAATCGTAATATAAACTTCGTTGAATAAGTCCTGCAAGTACACTGGGGCTAGTTTATGGAGGGACTTAAACATCATAAACGCCTGCTTGCCGGGAAGTGTATCCCATTTTAGCATGGCTAGGAGAACGTTAGAGCTTGTCTCCTACAGTTGAGGCATTCAGATTCATTGTGTGCCACAGAAGCGTGTCATCAAGCGAGACATCGAACTTCCGGTTGCTATTCATGACGTCCAAGAGGTCAGCGTTCTCTTTGCTTAAGTTCGCTATCACTTCGACTTTAAATTCTGCGAGGCCAAGTTTGATAGAAATGATAATTTTGCATGTTTTCCATTAGAAAAAATTTTACTTTAGTGAAGTTTGTTTCATGATAACAAATAGACCTTTTTACCGATACGGCAGCCATATTGAATTAATTGGATTTAAGGAGTATTATGGGAAATTCTCGGCGCGACCTTGGAATACCTTGCTGTCACGTTTCGTGTGGGCAGGTAAATTCGTGCGCCTCGACTACAAGCTGGCAAATGTTGCTGATGGAGGCGTCAAATTTCCTTGAAAATGTTTAGAAACCAGGGGGGGGGGT